TGTAGTCTGAATACATAAGTTGAATGGTTTGCCATGGCTGAAACTCTCGGAGTTGTAATGATCCCATTTCCTGCATTCGGCCACATGATACCCTTCTTTCAATTCTCCATAGCCTTGGCAGGAGCCGGTGTAAAAGATCTTGCAAGATGAACAAAGTTGTGCATGCAGCCTAACTTCAACCTTCATAACATGATTTTAATATTTAAGTTTATATCATTTGTTTACTTGGGCATTTTCTTTTCCTTTTTTGTTCCTCAGCTCTGATTTGAATTATAGGATTGTTTTTCGAAGCTAAGATACATGAACTATTACTGACAATTCAGTCCTACTCTTGCAGTACTTTCTGTATCAGGTGCTACGAGGGCTCAAATATGTACATTCAGCAAATGTCTTGCATCGTGATTTAAAGCCCAGCAATTTGCTTCTAAATGCCAATTGTGACCTTAAGATTGGAGACTTTGGGCTAGCAAGGACAACATCTGAAACTGATTTCATGACAGAATATGTGGTTACTCGTTGGTACCGAGCACCAGAATTGCTGCTTAATTGTTCAGAATACACTGCAGCAATTGATATTTGGTCTGTGGGTTGCATACTTGGCGAAATCATGACCAGGCAGCCCCTTTTTCCTGGCAGAGATTATGTTCATCAGCTGAGACTCATCACAGAGGTATGTGTTATATTTAAAGTCTGTCTTTGTTAGAGTGTCAAACTCCTCTCCCACCTCACCACATTTACCCCTTTTATATTTTATTGCTTACCTTCACATTGTTGGACTTGACTTTAGTCACTGCTTTTGGTAATGTACTTGCTTGTGCGCAAGTATCTGAGTGTGGGAGTTTTAAGGTTATTTCACCTATTTGCTTAATTTGCATTATTTTGAATTCTAAACCGTAGGACTTTAGGTTGAGTGGGACTTTTAGAGTCCTCCAAGAGATGAATCATATTGTATTCAGATAAAAGGTCCCGTTTCTGAAAAATAAATACTGTAGCATTGTTGTTCTGAAAGTCCTCCAAGAGATTAATCATATTGTAGTCAGGTAAAAAAGGTCTCATATCTGAAAAATGAATACTGTAGCTTTTTGTTGTGAAAATGAGGAGAAAGAGTACTTGGATTATTTTTGAGATTCTGCAAAACTAACACAAATCTCTATTCTTCTCTTCTTCTTCTTCTTCTTCTTCTTCTTTTTCGATGAAACAAGAGATCACGAATCTTGATTCTTATGTGCCTTTCTCTGCACTCAACTTATTTATGTTCTTATAAAGCATGGAGGTAATCAAAAGTATAGAGCTGTTTTACCTTCACAGAATTAAGTCGGATAACATTGTGCATAATTTCCTTTTGCCTAAAACAGCTCATAGGTTCGCCTGATGATTCCAGCCTTGGGTTTCTTAGAAGTGACAATGCGAGAAGATATGTAAGACAGCTTCCACAATACCCTAGGCAACAGTTTTCTGCAAGATTTCCTAACATGTCCCCAAGTGCTCTGGATTTGCTGGAGAAGATGCTTGTGTTTGATCCAAATCAACGTATTACAGGTATATTATGTTTCTGGTTTCTGATAGCTGGTTTATAATAATGTTGTTGAGAATTCTAGATTCAAATTCATGTAGGACATGGAAGCAGCATTCTTGATTATGTAAGGGCCATGCCATTAGTTTCTCTTTTCCTTTAATTACAGGATCTTGCAGAGTATTGAGTTCCTAAATACTGTGATTAAGAAACAAGTTCCTAGTCGATCACAAGAAAAACTGTTCCTAGTGTTTTGTGATTAATAAGCATTAGATATGTCAACGGAAAAAAAAAAAATGCATTAGATATGTCAAGCATTCTTCAAGGCCATCTTAGTTGTGCACATTCCGCCCCTGTTTTTGTACCAAAATTTCCTTTCTTCCATCATCAACTGACGTATTTTCCCCCTGTTTGGTTTTCAGTTGAGGGGGCATTGTGCCATCCATACATGGCACCCCTTCATGATATCAATGAGGAGCCTGTTTGTCCAAGACCTTTCGTTTTTGATTTCGAGCAGCCATCTTTTACTGAAGAAAACATTAAGGAGCTTATCTATCGAGAATCTGTAAAATTCAATCCAGATCCAATTCATTAAGGATGATCTGTTGTACCCACTTGGGAGTGGCATCCCATGACTCTCATTTGTAATCCTACTATGTAGAACCCATCAGTCTCCCTGAGACTGAAAGATAAACAAGCTCGGCAAACATATGAATATTCTGTATGTCATGAGAGTTTTATTCAACTTCATTTCACTTCTGTTGCTGCCTGTAACCTACAATTGCTTAGAAAGCATCTCTAGTGTAATAGCTCTTATTGCTGTAGATCAGATTATTATGCAAACTGATGCTCCAGGTATCACTACATTTCATCTCGAGGACTGTGTTGCAAATCCTTTTTCTCATGGAGCATTGACTCTACCTCTTGTTACATTTAGACTTTTCTTCAGTTGTTCAAATGCATGAACTGCTTTGGCACAAGGGTTCTATGAACCCAATATCTACCTAACTGCTTAAGTTTGTATACGTAATGAAGCAGTTTCGCCAAACGAGATTCGTCTGCCCTTTGGATCTTCAGTTTTTATCGTATTCCATTGTTTTTTATTCTATATATAAAATATAAAAAAATGTAAAATCAGGAAATTTTGATATTAAAAATGTTAAGACGTTTAATTATAATTATATATTAATGTTGGGACTGCCTATAAAATTATTTGAACTCTTAATGAACCTTTCTTATATATTAATTCATGTCTGTTGATTTATTAAGGGTATTTAAATCTTTTTATTATTAGTTTTAGTAATTTAATTATCAAAACATTTTGATTTTTTGTAATTTTATTATTATAAAGTTGTAAATTTTCATGTAAATCTATAAGAAAAAAGTGCAAGAATGTTTATGAAATTAATTAAATACTCTTAATAAATTAACATGTAAGAAGGATACATTCAAGATATTTAAATGCTTTTTTGTAGTATTATATAAATATTGAATTTTTTAAAGAATACTATTTTATAAGTAAGGACAAATTAGTTGAATAGCTCTGAACTAGCCTTAAAGGTTGAACTCAATATATGAGTTAAATTTAAAGTTTAAGTTTTAAACACAACATTATGAAAAAGGAATAGTACTTGTTCGTTTTATCTCTAAAAAATTAAGAGGAAAAAGAATAAAAATCACCTTAATATATGCTTTAAAAATAAGGTAATTTAATTTTTTTTAATAAAAATTTATTGAAACGATGTAATTTTGGGATAATTTTTCTCTTAATCTTTAGGATGTAAGGTTAATAGACATTATTTCCTTAAGAAAATTAATTTTTTAAAATTAATTATGGTGTAACAATTAACGATTGAAACATTTTAAAATTATAAAAAAAAGACTCGAATTCAAATTAAAATACGTATTAGCTCAAACTCACAAGCTTGAGCACAAGCTTAAATTTTGTGAGCTCGGACAAATATTTAAGCTCAACTTGAACTCAATTTTTTAAATTGAACTCAACCACAAGTAACTAGGTATTCGACTTGAGTTTACTCGTTAACAGTCCTAAGCACAACTTTCCATTCCTTCTGATAATAGGTTTTTCTAACATGTTTATTTAGGGCATAAGTTAAAAATACATTAACTGTATATTTTACAATAATTTTTTTATAAAAATATAAAAATAAATATTATTTTTAATATTGATGTCATGTGAATAATTCTAATTAAATAGTTAATAAATTTAAATTTAAAATTAACTTCTTCTTTTTTACAAATTAATTATAAAAATGTAATTAATAGGCAGAAGTTAAAAAACTCTGAGAAAAAGCTGAGCAATGCCTTGAATTAAGGTTAAAATATTAATTTAGTTTTTCAACTTTTAAATTTATATTAAAATTATTTTTAAATTTTAATTTTTGGTATCAAAATAGTCCTTAAACTTTAAAAACAAGTACCAATTTAATTCTTAAACTTTGATTACAAATTCTAATTTAGTCTTTCAACTTTAATTATATATTAATTTGATATATAAATAAAAATATGTCATGATGATAAAATATAATTATTGGATACTACACATTATTAGTGTCTATAAAAATTGAATTTATAACAAGATAACAAATTATGTGATATTTCTATTAATAAAAAACAAACTATTTTGATAGCGAAAATTAAAAATTAATTTTCGTATTTTTTAAAGTTAAAAGATAATTTTAATATAAATTTAAAAGTTAAGAGACTAAATTATCATTTTAACCTTGAATTAATAGCGACACATGTACATGTGGTGCTACTTTCGGTGGTCTGCCTGGCTGGAATCAATGTCTCATTCGTGTAAGCTCCAATAATTGAAGATGGCACCGCCCCTCATGGACCACTACCATGTAGTTAATATTATAATAATGACTATCGTCAAATGATGATATTATCATATTATAATTTTTTATTATTTATTTTTAAATGGTACCTATTTAAAAAATTAAAAATATAAAAAAATAACTGAAGGGATTGATATCTTGTGACCAACATTGATAACGTGAGAAAAGAAAAATTGAAGATGTTTTAATATTAAAAATGTTAAGATATTTAATTATAATTTTAAATATGTAAAATATAATATGAATTTTTAATTTATATAATTTAGTTCATAATAATTATTAAATATTTAATATTTTTAATATCAAAATATTTTTTTTTTTCCCAAAACATTGCAATACATTTCTTTTTTGGTAGGGGTGGGACTCGGTTGGTTTTGATTCAAATCAAAATTGACTTGTTGGTTAGTTGAGATATCGGTTACCTAAAGTAAAAAACCGTTAACTGAACTAAAATTTATTGGTTTTTAATCATTCGGTTAATTTTTTAAATAGTTATTATCAAAATGGTTTCAGTTTAAATTTAATTATTAAACACTTTTTTT